GGGGAGGGGAGTACTGGCTCTTACAGGGCTGTCCCCAGAAGGAGTGGTGAAGGAAAGCCTTCCTTCCTCCCCATAAAATGGAAGCTTCTGCTCTTGACCCTGATACTTGGATCCTGGGAATTCCAACCTCCAGCCCTGCTGTGGTTTCAGGTTATGAAGCCCTGCAGGGCCCGAAGGAGATCAGCGGGTTTGAAGGTGACACAGTGACCCTGCAGTGCACCTACCGGGAAGAGCTGAGGGACCACAAGAAGTACTGGTGCAAGCAGGTTGGGTACCTACTCCTCCGCTGCTCTGACATCATCTACACGGGAGAAGAAGGCCAGGAGACAACACAGGGCAGGGTGTCCATCCGAGACAGCCCCCAAGAGCTAGCCCTCACCGTGACCCTGCGGAACCTCACCCTGCAGGACGCTGGGAAGTACCGGTGTGGGGTAAAAAAACTGGTCTTCTCTGAGACTTTCCTGGTGTCTCTGTTAGTCTTTCCAGGTAACAAATGCCTCTCCTTCACCTGGCTGTGGGCCAGGAGGTGCAGAGGGAAGAGGGCGGGTCCGTCAGGACTAATCTTGGTACTGACCTTGTGGGGCCTCTCTATGACTCGGGTCAAGAGTGGAGCGATGTTTGGGCATTGGCGGTGCCGTTTGGGTCTCGCCTGTTCTTTTACTCTTCCTGCCCAAGGTCATGCCACTGGTAGAAGGCAGAGCAGGATGGAACTGAGATCTGTCCAGGACTATGCTCAGGGGCCTTTCCTTTCTGCCCAGATGTGCCAGAGGGAAATTGCAGTGGGTTGGGGACAAGATGGACATCTCAGGGAATACAGAAGACTCATTGCCTGGTGTGAGAGAGATTCCTGAGGCCCCCTGAGGCTGGGCCAACCATTGCGGCGTCCCTACCCAGCCCACAGAGTCACCTAAGCCCTGGCCACGTTGGCCTCACCCTACTTGTGGCCTCAGCTCCCCTTCTTTGCCCTCCTTGTCCGCAGATCTTGAAGTCCAGGGACAGGTTCTGGGGTGCCTGGGAACCATCCTCTGGGTAGGATGCCTGAAGGAGGGTCTTGCTGAGCTCAGGGACACTAGGACAGGGGATAAAGCACCTGTCCGGGTGCCTGGAGCCCCACCTGGACCTGCTGAGCTAAGGAGAAAGAAGCCAGGGAGAGCCCAGGGGAGTGGGAGCCCCAGCTGCTGGTCAGTGAGGGCGAGACAGGTCTTTGTATCCCCATTTCACAGATGGCAACTGAGGCTCTGAGAGACTAAGTGATTTGCCCAAGGTCTCATGACAGGAATTGGTAGAGCCAGGATTCAAATGCAGGTCATTGCTGGCTTTGGTGTCTGCTCTTTCCCTCTCCTGGCCCCATAGATGGGACTTATCCCAAACCCAGGCCGCATCTCCGTCATCTTGGGTCTTTATTTCAATTCAGGGAAACAAAGTTAAACTCACCAAATAATAACAGTAGCATCAAACCACATTGAATCTGTTCTCCATTATTTACGAGATCCTCTGATCTCTTCCGATCCTACCAGCATTCCCATTTTTACCTAGTTATGATCAATTTTACCTATATTTGAGGCTCTCCTGTGTTTTATGCTTACCCTCATTAGTAATTATTTATTTGTGTATTGATATACGCATTATCCCCCTGCGTCAGATCTTGTCAGCCTCTGATGACAGTCAGGATGTTGAAAATGAAGAAGACCATGGCAGAGGTGTGCTGGTCAATGTTTAGCAACAGGCGAGGGTGCTCTAATTTATGGTGTCTGCCAGTTTCTGTGGTGTAAATGCTCCCGCCATGGCCAGTTTCCAGCCATTGACAGTTAACAACTGTCTCACAAAATTCCTGAACAGTTAACAATTCGCTCTTGGGAGCCAGCATGAGCCATCTCCAGCACCCCACTGAGGGTAGTGAAACGTTAGAAGCATTTCTGGGAGGGTCAGAGCAAGACAAATGTACCCACTGTGATTTCTTTCATTCATCTTTGCCTAGGCCTAGGGCCTCCAAGGCAATGAAATATGACACGATAAAGAAGTATAAATATTGAAAAGGAAAAAATAAATACTCTTTATTTGCAAAAGATTTGGATCATCTACTTAGAAAAAATCCAAGAATAAACTGACACAGTATTACAGATTGAGTATCCCTAATCCCCGAATCCAAAATGCTCCAAAATCTGAAGCTTTTGAGCACTAACGTGACACCCAATGGAAATGCCCCTTTGAGCATTTCAGACCTCAGATTTATGGATTAGGGTTGCTGAACCAGCAAATGCAATGCAAATATTCCAAAATTTAAAAAAAAAATTGAAATTCAAATCATATCTGGTCCCAAGCATTTTGGATAAGGGACACTCAGCCTGTAGAATAGAGAATGGGGAGGCCACAGATGGACATGGGGAAGTGAGGGGCTCAGCAGTTCCTGGGAAACTGGTCACACCAGGTTTCTGCCCACTGTGCTGGGCACAGAAGATAGGTGTTTGGCCCTTAAGGAGGCCCAGCCTAGTGGGAAGACCCAGTAAACCAGTAACTGAGGTGTGATTGCACAGTAGCATCGACGGAGGCATGTACAGGGTACAGTGGGTGCCCAGAGGAAAAAGGGACTCGCTCCTCCTGGGGAAGACATTCTGCAGGAGTTGACTTTCGAGCTGGTGCTAAAGGCCAGAAAGAAGTGTGTTAGGCAGAGATGGAAAGGCGAGGGAGGCATCACACTCGAAGGAGCAGCATGTCAGAGGCAGGGGGTGGGCAGCAGGCTCGCTTAACAGGGAACGGAGGGCAACTCTGCACGGCCAGAGCCCCCGCTGGGGAAGAGGTGAGGCTGACAAAGTGGTGTGAAGTCTGAGTTTAAAAGGCTGTGAAAGGCGTGCTAAAAAGTGTGAACTTCGGGTTGTAGGCAATGGAGGCCACCAACTGTTCTGAAGCGGAGTGTGGGGGGGTGATGGGACTCAATATAGATTTGAGAGACCAACTGGCACCAGTGAAGGGTGGCATGGAAGGGGCAGGCTGAAGGGCCAGGGAGAAGGTGGGGTGACGGTGGTGTCAGAGCTGAGGGTCTAAGCTAAGTGGGAGGCCAAGGGGGCTGCCGGAGGGGAATACCCCGGATCCCCAGGTATCTGCCCTGATTGGCAGAGGGGAGAAGATGGCAGTGGTCTGCGCTGAGGTCGGGGGTGGGAAAGCAGCTGGCTGCTCCCAAGGAAGGAAAAGGGGTTCAGAGCAGTGACTCGTGCAGGCCCTGAGAGCAGCCTGTCCCTTTCCTCTAGGGCCCTGCTGTCCTCCCTCCCCCTTTCCCTCCTTCCAGCCTCTTGCTACAAGGAGCCCGCAGCCCAAGGCAAAGGCTTGGCAAACGCAGCCCCCAGAACTGAGTGAGTGAATGGTTCTTCCATCCCTCCTGCCCGCCATGTACAGAAACACCCACTGAGGGCCTCCCTGGTGCCCGCTGCTGCCCTTCATGCCTGGGAGCTGGATTGTCCAGCTGTGGAATTGGAGGCTCAGTGGGGTTTAAGTCACTCACTCAATGTCACACGGGCAGCAGCAGAGCCCGGAAGTGGTCACGGCCTGATCCCAACGCTCATGTTCTGTCTGCTCCATCCAGGGTCTGGGGGGCAAGCTAGAAGGGCCAGGTCTTGGTCCCTCACCTCTGGACTTATCCCTGCCACCCTGCCCTGCCTGTCCTTGTGGCTGTTGAAGGCGGGCAAGGCCCTAGTGGGGCGTGGTGAGGGGGGAGTCGGCATTCTACTGTGATAGAAGGACCTGCCCTTCTGGTGAGGAAGGAGGTGACAATTGGCCAGGACTGGAGGAGGAGGATGGGAAGGTGTCTGCTGGATGGTCATTGTAATGGGTCCTGGATGTGGGGATGGGGGTGTGATTGTACCTCCCCACAGAGAGGACAGGCTGTGGGCACAAAAAGAGACCGAACCCTATGTGCAGGTGTGGGCTGTGCCTGGTATATGATGTGCTTGCTCCAAATGGCTTCATCTGGGCCTGTTTGCTTACTGGGTTGTCCTTTAGCTGGGGGTGTTTTGGGAAATTGGGGAGGCTAGGGGTCAGGGGTCCTCTTGGGGAGGTCAGGGGTCAGAGGTCTGGGGATGCTGGGATTTTAAGGGTCAGGGAAGGTGCTGAGGCACTGCTTTTGGACTTGTAGCTTCTCCTGGTCTCTACCCGACAGTCACCACAGCCAAGCAGGGGAAGACAGGGGCTGAGGCCTCTCCGTTCACGGGGACCTCCCCGTATGGGCACGCAGGAACCTCCCTGTACACAGGAACCTCTCTGCATGCAGGAACCTCTCCTCACGCAGCGACCTCTCCTCACGCAGGGAGCTCGCGCCCAACCATGCAGCTGGACTCCACCCTGGCAAAGGACACCAGGTCTGTTCCCAGCAGCAGCAGCTCCAAGCCCAGGTGAGCCCGAGGTGACCAAGGTCACCTTTCAGGCCATCACTGAACCATGAGCAAATAAGAACCGACACTCCTTCCTCCAAGTGGACACATCCTCTTGTTATGGCCACAGCCTGCAGCACAGAGGGCAGATTTCAGCCCCCATTCACCCGACATAGGGGCCCTTGCGCAGTGGACAGCCTGCACTACAGGACCCAGCAGCCCTGCTGTCCCAGACTCAGGCCCGCCCAAGGAGAAGGTCCACCAAGGCCCCATTCCTCACCTCTCTTGCTGCCCCAGCCTCAGGGACGGCCACCCAGTTCAGTAGCTTTTGCCTATACGCTTTGCACTGAGTCCTGTGTCAAGCATGAAAATACAGAATCCAAAAGAAAAAAATGTTTTTCCTTACCCACCTGCAGTCCCAACCTGAAGGATCGGTGCAGGGGGTTATGACCGCACTCGGTCACTGATATCCAGGCAGCCGCTGGCAGGTTCAGGCCCAGCTGAAAGTGAATCCAATGCTGAAAGTTCAGCAATGGTGGGGGAGGGGGATCCCTTCTGACCAGTCAGGGCTGACCAGGCATCAGGGCCCTGTGCCTTGTCATCTCCCAGGAGAGACAAGGGACATGGCTGACTCAGAAGATACCACGTTACCCACGTGCTGGTGATGCCAACCCCAGTACGGGCCCTGGAGAACTTCCTGCACACCACTGTGCTTAATCTCCTCAAGCGTTGGTCTCCCGTGTGAAACTGGACCGCTCCTTAGTTACACAGGGTCGTGGAACTTAACAGCTAACACTGACATAGTGCCTGGCATGTGTCAGGCACTGAACTAAGCGCTTTACATATTCCAACCTGCCTGATCCTCATCACAGCCATTTTATACAGAAGGAAATTGACACCCTGGGAGATTTAGTCACTTGCCCAAGGCCACCCATCTAGAAAGTGGTGGAGCCAGGGTTTGAACCCAGGCAGCTTGGCTTCAGGGTCTGCGCTAGTTAAGTAACATGTGTCAAGCGCCAGTGGCAGTGAATGCTCTGCCAGCCTTTGCCGCATTGATTTGGCTTCCATGCTAGGGGTTGGCTTTCTTGGCCTGTGCCTGGGACCCCGAAGGGCATAGCCTTTGGCTTATCTGATGACAGCCACTAGGATCCTTTCGTCTCGCCTCCAGGGTGTCCATCCCGCTGGTCCGCATGTTGGCCCCAGTCCTGGTGCTGTTTGGCCTTTTGCTGGCTGCGGGCCTGATCGCCCTGGGCAGCCACATGCTCCGCTGGAGAAAGGAAGGTGAGCGAGGGCACGTGGGAGGAGGGTGGGAGGCTCGCTGAGCCAGGGCTTCACTGAGACCCGCAGCGCCCCCAACCCTGGAAAGACCTTGTGGGCCCCAGTGTGTCCGTCTGAGATACGGGCATCAGGAGCCCTACTCCTCCCTGCTGAGAAAACTGTGAGGCAGTTGACATTAGGAAGAAGCAATGCAGATGGGGGAGTGGGAACGTGAGGGGTCCTCAGCTTCTTCCTGTCTGCCAAGCCCAGCAATCTCTTCTCTCCCTGTCCCTCCCAGTGAATCCATGTCCCGTCTGCAGGTCCAGCTCCTATAGGGGACTGACTGCCACGGGGAATGCAGGACCGAACACTTGAACTTGAGCAGGACAGACACCGTGGCCCCACTCCTGCCACTGGGTCTCTAGAGGTGCTCAGTCCTTTTTCTAGGTTTGGGTTCACGTCCCAGCTCTGCTGCTTTTTAGTTGTGTGACCTCGGGCAAGTCACCTAATTGCCCTGAGCCTCAGTTTCCTTAAATCATGGATATACGTCAAACAGAAATAGCATACAAGCCACATATATGATTTAAATTTTTCTAGTATGAGCAGATATGGTGGCTCACGCCTGTAATCCTAGCACTTTGGGAGGCTGAGGCAGGAAGGTAGTTTGAGCCCAGGAGTTTGAGACCAGCCTGGGCAATGGTGAAACCCTGTCTATACAAAAAATTGAAAAAAAACATTAGCTGGGCATAGGGCATAGTGGTGCACACCTGTATTCCCAGCTACTCAGGAGGCTGAGGGAGGAGGATTACTTGAGCCCAGGAGTTTGAGGCTGCAGTGAGCTATGATGACACCACTGCACTCCAGCTCAGGCAACAGAGCAAGACTTTGTCTCAAAAAAATAAAAATAAAAATAAATAAATAAAATTTTCCAGTAGCCACATGAAAAAAAGTAAAAAGGAACTAGTGATGATAATTTTAATAATAGAGTTTATTTAACCCAACATATGCAAAACATCATCATTTCAACATGGAATCAATATAAAAATATTAACGGTACATGTTACACATCCATTTTTTTCAGTTTGAGTCTTCGAAGCCCAATGTCATTTGAAGTCGCCACATTTCAGTGCCCCATGGCCATATGTGACATGTGGCTCCAGTGCTGGATGGCACAGATTTAAAGGATTGACTGAAATAACAGCAATAAGAGTTACCTGTCTGCAGCCTGTGTTACTTATATCCTTTAATCTCCTCAACACTGTAGAGTGTGCCCATTGTACAGGGGAGGAAACTGAGGCACAGAGCGGTTAAGCAGCTTGCCCTGTGTTTGCATAACTAGACAATGGGAGAGCCAGGAAGGCATCTGCAACTGTCTCAGTGAAGGTGGCGGGCGGGGGGTTAGTCCTGGGCCTTGGAGTGACCCCAAGGAAGAAGCGTCAGCTTTGCCTATCTCCCCAGGTCCCCTCAAAGAAGTTTGAGAGGGCGCACACAGAGTGGGAGCATTCCTGGTCACAGCCTCAGAGCTACTTAGCACCTTGCCTCTCAAACTGTGGTCCCCAGCTAACAGCAGTGGCATCCCCTGGTAGCAGTTAGAAATGCAGACTCTCAGGCCCCAACCTACTGAATTAGAATCTGCACTTTAAGAAAATGTCCAAGGGTTCCTGTATGCACATTAAGGTTGGAGAAACAACGACCTTAGTACATAGATTTATTTCCCCAGCCAGTTTCGGGCCCTCACCAGGTGATCCCCATGTACTGATCTCAGAAGGCTGCGTCATTCCCAAGGGGCTGAGCTGGAAGGGCCTCCTCTGCCCACCCTGCCTGCCAGCTCCCTCTGGGAATGCCCTGCTCCTGGGTGTAGGGAGGCCAGTCCACCTCTCTGGGAGCAGCTGCAGGCTACTCCTGGCTACTCCTAGCTTCAAGGTGCTCCTTTTATGTCTCTTTCAGCTCAACTGGCCACTGAGACACAGAAGAATGAGAAAGTCTACCTCTCACACTTGGTAAGAACGGAGGCGGGCCAGGGCCCAGGCTCAGATCCCCTTGGAGCTGGAAGTCAAGACTCCTGGGCCTGCCTCTGTGTCTTCCTACCTACCTGGTCTTCCGTGTCTGACCTAGAGGCCAGGCTTCCTCCCCAGCCTAGAGGAATTTGTGTGAGCCCCGAGACCAGCCCTTCGGGGTGTGGGCCCGACGGAGTGCCCATCCTCACCTCCAGTTTGCCACCAAGTGCCAGGCAGTGTGTACACAAGGAGCCAAGTGAGCATCCCCCGCCCCCAGGCCAGCGCCTTCTTCCTCCCCTCCCCCTTTAGAATCAGAGAACATCAAAGCTGGATCCAGAGGAAGCCTTTCTCTGAGTTTGGAGCAGAACGCTTTTCACAACACCCAGGGATCAGGGAACTGTTAGAAACACACTTTCCCCGGCCCCAGTTCCAACTGAACCCCATAGAGGTAGTTTCTAGTGCTTTTGCAAAAGATGAAACTGAGTCCCAGAGAGGGTAAAGTTCTTGCCCAAGGTCACACAGAACCCAGATTTCTCAACTCCCTGCTCTCCTCTTTCCAGAGCACCCTGATGTTTTCTCTGAGCCTTCCTTGGCTTTGAGACCAAGGTGGCATGGCTGCCCTGGGACCCCAGCTCAGGGTGGCATTCTGGGGACCAGGGGGCAGAGGGCATGGGGGTCCCAGTTCCCATCTACCTGGAGCAGGGAACCTGCCCCAAGGCTACTCCTGCTGGAAGAGACAGCGGCCTCCCATGCCGGCACTCCTGCAGAGGGGCCTGCACAATCACACCTCAGGGAAACAGAAACGGAATCCTCTCCTCCCCGCCCCCACCTCACTGGGCCCCTCCTTCCTCATCTGTTTACTGAGATGCCTCCACTCTGATTCTCTTAAACTCCAGGGCAGGAAAGGGCGGCTACCATTGTCTTCTTTCCTGGCGCCAGTAAGGACAAAAGACCCAGGCCTGATCCATGCAGGGAGGGTCTGGGGTGGGAATAGGATCTTGGGCTTAGGAAGCAGCTGTTGTTGTCTCAGGAAGCTCAACAAGGCCAAAGGTGGTGGAAGGGATTGAGGGAAAAGTCATGGAGACAGACGGATGGATGGACAGGGGTCGCAATGGCCCCCTCCAGAGCCCTGCCTCCTGGCTGTTCATCCTGGGACCTGAGGCTCACACCACTCAACTCCAGAAGAGGGGTTGGGTATGGGGAGGCCAAGGGCACCTGTACCAGCCACATTGTCCCAAAATGCTGCCTCCGTCCACTCTGGGAATGCTGCCTTGGACTTTTTCCTGCCCACGACACCTGGCCCTGACCTGACTGAGGCGAGAGGGGACAGGAAATGGCACAGGACCAGTGGGCAGAAGGGCTCTAGGAGGCAACCCCTTGTTGGGGGAAAGATTGAATGGGGTCCGCCTAAGAGGGCCCAAATTGGAGCTAAGTGTTCTTCCCCTCCTTGCCCCTCCCTGCCTTGCCCGCCCCCTTCCACGTTTCCCTCCTCTTGCCTGGGCTGAGCCCGGCTGGCAGACCATCCCTGCTACCAAGAACAGGCTGTTCTGACCGTGTCTCTGTTACAGCCGCTGCGGAATGGCCAGGACCCACAGGACTCCGTGATCCACCTTGCAGGCCCCACTGGGCCTCTCGCCAGACCCGAGCCCTCTGCCCCCGTCTACTCAGAGATCCAGGACCTGAGCCAGGTGTGGATAGAAGCGCCTGGGGGTCTGGGGCCACCTGACCTGACTCCACTCTGATGATGCCAGGCAGTCGGGGAGGTTCTTTCCTCAGCAACCACGCCTCAAACTCCACACACCTGCATCTGCTCACCTACCCCATCGTAGACGTAGGCTCAGGCTGTTTCACCCAGGATGCCAGGGCTCTTGGCCTCATATCCTCTTTTTTTCTGGTCCAGAAAATTCCTGCATAGCTTGTTGGGAGTCATGGCTCAAAGAGCCCTGGGCTGGCAGGATGCCCACAGCTGCAGCCAGAGCCCGGCCCGAGGCCTTGAGGGTTCTCCCCTGGGAGGGGTGGACTGGGGACAGGGGAACATGAATCAAAGCCTGGGGTTCCAGGGAGGAGAACTGGTTAGGTCCCGTGCCCCTGCAGGTGGACAGAGGCCCAGACTTTGTGGGAAAGGCTGGGGTGGACACAGCGGCTACCTAGAGACCACCCCCAGCTGGGCTGTGCTTCCCAACCCCACTGTTGTCTTTACAGACTACAGAGGAAGAGGACCCCCCTGCCCAGGACCTCGAGGGGGACATGATCCCGGTGCCCCCCTTCCACCTGTCTGAGGCGGAGCTGGGCTTCTCCAAGTTCATCTCCACGTAGCTGCAGAAGGCCCACCTGGCCAGGCGGCCGTGAAGCTGAATGGCGGGTTCTGCACCGGCTCCCACAAGCTTTCTGCCTTTCTCCCCACCCTCCCCAGGCTGCCCTCCTGCGTGCCCCAGTCTGACCTGGACTCGTTCGCCAGCTCTGGAGCCCGGAGTGGTGGCCTTACAGTTCCAGCTGGAGACTGGGACTTCCCCATATGTCCACGCCTGAGCAGGACACACAGCCACTGGACCCTCACGGGGCCGGGCAAGGCTCAGCAGGTCTGGTCCGAGCTTGTGTCTGCTCCGGGAGACCCCTGGGGCCGGGGTGCCAGCATCAGCCCCACCTTCCTCCCTTCTCCTCCCTTCCTGGCACCTGACTCGGCACCACGTTCCTGCACCAGCTGGGGATGAGGGGGAGCGTGCTGGGGTTAGACTGGATTCTGGATTCTCAAAGCGCGGCTGTGAACCGCCTGCATCCCAGCCCTCAGGGAGCTGTTAGAAATGTAGTTCCTGACCCACCAAAGCCATCTCTGGGGCCGGGCCCAGGACTCCGCATTTCTGGAAAGTACCCCAGCAATTCTCACATTCGAATTTGAAGACCAGCCGGCCTGATGAATGCTCAGACCCTTCCAGCTTAGAGTCTACATGAGTAGGTATGTGGAGTCCCCCGCTTGCCCCATATATGGTCTGCTCTGTCCACAACACCGTGACTGGGTTGGGGGCTTCCCCGGGTCTCCCCTGAGTCTGGGCCCAGGCCAGGAACACAATGGAAGGCAGCAGCTGCCTTTCCATTTGCCTTCCCCAGCCGTGCATTCCTGCCTTTGCAAAATCGATGGAGGAAACCTCGGCTTCTTCCTTGTCTAGGAAGGGTCACTGCCTGTGGGTTCTGGTGGCTGGGGAGAGGAGCAGGAAACCAGAGTGCGGGTGAGGGTCTAAAAGGGAGGAGAGAGGGGATGAGGCAGGAACCTGAAGGTGACCCCGAGTCTGGGCCCCTAGAGAAGGGGTGGGAGGTGGGGGTAGCGTAACAGAACTGCTGGTTTTTTTCCTTTTTCTATTTTCTTTAAAAAGTGAAATGGGGGCTGTGCGCGGTGGCTCACGCCTGTAATCCTAGCTCTCTGGGAGGCCGAGGCGGGCGGATTGTTTGAGCTCAGGAGTTCGAAACCAGCCTGAGCAAGAGGGAGACCCCATCTCTACTAAAATTAAAAAGAAATTAATTGGACAACTAAAAATATATAGAAAAAATTAGCCGGGCATGGTGGCGCATGCCTGTAGTCCCAGCTACTCGGGAGGCTGAGGCAGGAGGATCGCTTGAGCCCAGGAGTTTGAGGTTGCTATGAGCTAGGCTGATGCCACGGCACTCTAGCCCAGGCAACACAGTGAGACTCTGTCTCAAAAAAAAAAAAAGTGAAATGGGGGTTGCTCAGTATGCAAAACTTAGAAAGATGGGGAGAAAAAAAAGAAGGAAGAAAAAAGTCTCAGTATGCAAAACTTAGATGGGAAGAAAAAAAAAGAAGAAAAAAAGTCACCCGTAGTCTCACCCCTCCCGAGGGACAATCATTATTTCATCTCGTAGTATTTCCTTCCATTCTTTTTTTCTCCATATAATTTGCTGGTGTTCTTTTTACAGAGTAATTATCTTGTATGTTCAATTTTGCATCTTGCTTTTCTCACTTAATTATTCCATCATAAGCATTTCTCCGTGTTTTACAAACCTTTTATAAATAAAATGTTCATCAGCTGCATAATATTTTATCGTATCAGTGTGCCTCAATTTATTTAACCGATTCTCTATCATGCAATATTTAATTTGTTTCTATTTTTGCTGTTATAAATAACAATGTGGTGAATCTTTGCCCAGGGCTTTATCTGCATTTGGAGATTTCTTCAAGAAGGGCTTACATGCGTGGAAGCGCCAGGTCACAGGGAGTGGACATTTTTGAAGTCACTGGTGCCCATTGCCAAATACAGCTTTCTAGAGTGGTGGCACCAATTTTGCTCCCACCCGGGCCTTTCAGTCAGCTTTTCTCCAAGTCCTGACCAACCTCTGTACCTGTCCCTGCAGCTCAGTAATGTCCCTGTGGTCAGAGCCTCGAGGGCCTGGGGGGCTGGGTGGAGGTGGAGCCGGTCCGAGCTCACCAGAAGGTGCCAGCCAGTGCCGAGGCCCCCCCAGGACGGGGTGCGAACCTCTTGCCTTCTCCTGGTAGAGAGGGAGCTCCCTCTGCCCAGGTTCCAGGCACTACGTGTGCCCAGATGCTGGGGAGGTACGGAGCAGCAAGTTTCAGGTGGTCTCAGAGAGACCCTAACAGTGCATTCTAAGAAGATCCCCCTTGAAAAGCCCCTCAGCTGGGGCCATGCTGGAGGGAAAGAACCCTCCTGTCCCCTCAACCTGTCACCTACTGCAGCCAGGGCTTCCAGGGGACCAGGAGGTGCTCAGCTAGGTCATCACACTCCTACCCCTTGCCTGTTCAAAGACTGTGTCCCGATTAAATAAACTGACGTCTTTCATGAGGCAGAGCTCTCTCCAAGGCAAACTAGGATTGGCATCCAAGTTTCCAAGTTTCACTGGACTTCGCAGACACTCACTGTCACTCATAGACTCTCCTCGTACTCCCACAGTGCTATCGAGATGCCCCAGCTCCATGCAACAGGCAGGGGACAAAGACTACTCCCTTTCCAGTTGCTGCTTTGCAATCCCTAGTTTTGATACACCTTGCTTTTATGTGTGTACACCAGAATACTCAGATCTGCATTGTTCATGCACATGCGCGATTCTATTCAATACCCATAACAAAAGAATGCGATGAGTCACTGTTCACCCATCCTGAGGACAGGGTTTTCCAGGTCCGGGACTTTTGCTGGGAGGTAAAGCTTCAGAAAAAATTGGGAGAATATCAGAGTTTAGTTTAGTTTAGCCAAATTGGGATCATAAATGTAACAATAATAAATTATCATTTACCGTCCCATCTGTTTCCTCAAAAGAAACATTTTAACACCAAACAGGGTATTGATAAGAGAAATGGATGATTAGAGGCCTCATTCCCCACCTCACCTCTGGCAAAGAATTGGATATCATGATTCTAATCCACTGAGGTCCAGTAAGGAGAGATTCTATAAATTCGTCCAGGAGGTGGATGTGGGGGAGGCTCTGAGGGGAAAGAACAGGGTTCAGGAAAGTGGAAACTCCTTACGATGTGCAATGAGCTGGGATGTGCTTTGGGGGCGTCTCCCCCAAAGAGGAGCTTTAAAAAGGAACTCTAAAAAAAATTTTTTTTTTTTTTTGAGACAGAAGCTCACTCTGTCACCCTGGGTAGAGTACAGCGGCGTCATCACAGCTCACTGCAGCCTCAAACTCCTGGGCTCAAGCGATCCTCCTGCCTCAGCCTCCCGAGTAGCTGGGACTACAGGCACGCGCCACCATGCCCAGTTAATTTTTCTATTTTTAGTAGAGACGGGGTCTCGCTGTTGGTCAGACTGGTCTCGAACTCCTGACCTCAAGCGATCCTCCCGCCTCGGCCCCCCAGAGCGCTAGGATTACAGGCATGAGCCACCACACCTGACCCCAAGGATCACACGCGAGGGAGCATCTTTCTGGCTCACTAATCTCTTTTCAGCTTGTTTAATTTGCTATTAAACCATCCTCCCCAAAAAGGTTTTATTTTAATTATTGTATTTTTTATTTCTAAAACTTCTGGATGATTCTCTTTCAAACCTGACTCGTTATTATAGTATCTTGTTGCTTGTTCATTTTTGTAATGTCATCTTTTATTTCATTAAACGTTGTACATGTACGTAGTTATTTTATATTTTGCACCTAATATCAGAAAGCCTTGGAGATAGAAATATGTTGCTGTTTATGTTGACTAGCACTCATTGTGGTTTGTTTCTCCTTGTTTTGAAATGTCACATTGTAAACTCATGTTTGGATGATCTTAATCTATAGACAATCCGGGGGTTGGAATTGAGGGTACCTTCCTCCAGAGAGGATTTGCATTTGCTTCTGCCGGGTCCAGGAGGTGATTCCAATTTGGGGCCGATTTGGCACCTTCTTTGGTCCCCACCTTACCAGAATCTCAGGTTGCCTTACCTTGCTCGCTGTTTATATTTAACTTTCTAAATGTGATGCTAATATTGGCATTTACCCGTGAGGCAACTCCACCTCTTCTGCATGCACATCCATGCACCATGCCAGTGAGGGTTGTCGTGTTTGGTTTTGTGGCCTCTAGAAGATTTCCCTTAACCCAGCAACACAATGAGAATTGTTTTACGTAGGATCTCACCGTTTCAAAGCATAAAGTACCATGTTCACCACTCTGCCTGAAATAGAACCCTGGATTCCCATTGTCCAGGCACTGTGTAAGCCCCTTAGATTTTTGTGTGACTCTAAGGAAGGGAAGACACCCGCCAAGACAGGACTGAGGTTTCCTTGCTTTCCACTCTGGTGAGCAGGGACTCAGGGGAAGATTTGATTCAAGTTAGAAAAATGCTGGAATATTTCTTACACCAGCATACGATGGAATAAAATTCACAATCACCACATCATAATAAAAGATAATCATTAAAATTAAATATATTTGGCTCAATGATAAACTTTCAGCATGTTCTTCATTTTCTCATATTGCCACAGACAACATTTGGGCAATGTCATGAGGTGATACAAGGGCAGTTTCGTGGGGAACCGCAGAGAGAGGAAGATCTGTTTCCGGAAGGAAGACTAAGCCCTGACGAAAATGGCGAGGAGGTCTTCACCACTTAGATAACTTGTGGAATTGTCACGCACTGTGCCAAGACTTATGAAAGTGAAATACGTGAGGATACAAGTACAAACAACATCCAGATGCTGCCTACACGGGACTTGCTCCCTCTTTGGCAGGGACGATGGTCAGAGGTGCACACTGATGCCCTACGCACCTGGCACATCTGGCTCCCACAGTGCACCGTAGCTCCAGGATGGGCTTTTCCCAGGACATTGGCTGTCCCCAGGAGCTGGTCTCCCACCACCTGAGAGATGTCCTTGGTGAAGCAGGTCGAACCTTTCCAATCATCAGCTCCATCCTCTGGCAGCTCTCCATAGACGTTCCCTCAGGCTCAATCTCACTTTCCAATTTCTTTTCTCCTTGCTTCCTTTGCATAAAATTAATTTCCAACTCACTCATGACAATGGCTACCAATATGTTATTTCAGAACTATCACAGCCATTGCGGAAATGACCAAGTACTTTGAAATGGCGCAGTCGCTGACCTCAGGTGTGAAGCTGTAGTTGGGGGTGGGGGTTGTGTACACGTGCTTGTGGGTCTGGAGAGAGAGTGTTTACACTCTTTATCTTCTAATTTAGTAATTCGCAAACTTAAACAAGCCTACAAACCACCAGGGAATGTTGTTAACCTGCAGACTCCCTGTTAATCTCATTAAACACAGTGGGTGTTTCTCACATTACAGATGTGTGCTCACTTCTCAGGAAACAATCCTGTATTCTCCTTTGCCTACTCTGCCTCTTCTGATGACTTTTGGAGACACTTACTACCTTTTTTATATTTTGCCTTTTAAATTACATCAGCGTCATTAATATTGCTGTATTAATGCATTCTTATTACATATAATTATATAGACGCTACTTGCATAGTCTCCCTGCTGCCCTCGCCTTCTTCCTCCCATGCCCCCCAGACCCCCACGCCGCTACCCAGAGGTAAATATTGTTGGCAGCGTTACGTGTCTCCCTCTGGGCCTTGTTTCAGTGGCGTGGAACATGTGGGCAATTGAAGAGAGGGATCGGGAGTTGGGGTGCACAGGCCTGGGGAGCCCACGGAGCAGAAAGAAGCGAAAAAGCTGGAGGCAGCTCAACACAGAAGAGATTGGCTCATTATACTCCCATGTGTCCCATGCTTTTGTCCCTCTTTGGAGAACACAGCTTTATTTTCTCCCTTAAACAAGTAGATAAAGACACATCTTAGCCTCCAGACAGGCAAAAATGGGGGCAGGCACTCATTGTATCACAGCAATTCTAGGAGTCTGAAGTCTGGGCCAAGGTAGAAGCAGATGAGAAATTGAGAGCCAGGGGTGCTCCCTTACTAACCTGGTAACCTGTGGGTGGAAGGCAGAAGAGAATTTGGTGATCTGCGCCCTGAGCAAAACCTCCACCACTGTCAGCCCCGTCTCACCCACACGCACACATTCACGTCTAGGATTCTGTGGTGGACAAATCCAATACCAAAATTCCTATCCTTTCTCAAGGTGCAGCAAGCATTCACTCAGCAAACATTACCTTATTTTCAAGAAATCACTCCAGCATCAGCACATTTGGAAATGCTTTTTGACTGCCCCCTTCTCCCAAACGGGCTGACTGAGGAGCCCCTGCTCCCTGCTCCTGGAACAGCTTCTCAGTACAGTGTCGCCATCAGGACTGTCTTCCTTCCTCTTCCAGTAGACTCCGGACCTCTGGATGTTGGGACCTTGGCTTGTTTGAAGGTGCTCAGTAGAAGTTGAGTGAGCACTTCAGGCTCTATGTTATAATTTTTCAAGGAACTAGGCAACTTATTAGGTGATGGGGGGGGGAGACCCCATTCACAGTAGCAACCCTGATGCAAACTACTCAACCAAATGCAAGGCACCTATGCAAACCTACAGAGAGCTCAAATCCAAACTTGAGAGTTCACAGATCAGATAGGTAATATGTATATATATGGTCTACTTATGCATTTAGAAGCAAGCCAAAAAAATTCTAATATTACAGCTCTTTTAACCCCAAAGAATGGGATGGAGGGAAGAGCCTAAGGATAAAAGGCGGGGTTTTTTAAAAGAAATGAATTTTGCTTTATAAGAAAGTCCTGTGTTAACTTTCTTTCCCTCGCATTGCTGCTGGTTGAGAACATGCCAGTCGGCTTAGCAGACAAGCAAGTGGAGGGCCCTGGGCTGAAAGGAGACCCAAGTGCATGGAGAGGCAGACCTCGGGCCTGGATGGGAAGACTGAACATGGAGGAGTGCTAATTCTTCCCGAATGAATGCAGCAATATGATGCAATTCTAATTAAGATCCCAATAGGAAGAGAGTGTGCTCTGACAAAACGATCCTAGAGTCCATCTTCTAGGATAAACAAGAAAGCATGGCTAAGAAAAGATAATCGATCAAGAGAGTAGTTGGAAACTTTCTCTTTTTACATAGTAAAACATAAGAATCTCTAAATAATTAAAACTGTAATAATGACAATTAGACCAGATGACTAGATCAATAGAACAAGCTAGATAGTCCTCCCTGCTCCCTTGCACCTCTCTCTCCTGGAGGTCTGTGGTCGCCAGCAAAGCCAGCCGTGAGTGAGATGGGGCGCAGTCCCAGGACTCCCGGGTGGGCTGTAGACTGGTGATGCCCTCAGCCTCACCTGGAGTGCTTCGATCTCTTGAAGAGCTGAACCTGAAGATGACAAAGTGTCCCACACTCTCCCTTATGGTCCCCTTCTTACCTCATGTTCCTTCTCAAAGAGTACTTTCTTCACCAAGCACTACTCCCCCTGAATCTAGTCAATCCCCCCAACTCTTGGAAGCAGCATGGGAAGAAAGCCCCAGACTGGGAGCCCGGAGTCCTAGGGTCTGGTTCCAGCTCTGCTGATGATTGTGTGTGACAATGGACAAAGCTTTTAACCTCTCTAGTTTCCCAACGATAGTGTGATAAGAATCCGTTCTGCCCTACTAACCACACGCTATCTTGCCGAGATAGGAAACGGATTTTTAAAAATAAAAACAGACTGGTAGCACGATTATTTTTAGAAATTCAACTGTATTTATTTAGGAAAATACCTTGATGCCAATTAGGGACCAAAAGAAATTTCCTCCACCCCAAGGGTATGGCCAAAATGGACTAGCAGAGATTGGCAAATTTGGTTACACATTAGAATCACCCGGGAAGCTTTTAAGACAAACCGCTTCTCAGGCTCCACCCTCAGCCTGGCAGCCTGGCTGGATCCTGATTCCTCTTCCTGACCACAAGGAAGACTATATTTCCCAGCCTCCCTTGCAGCAATCTAGGGCCACAGGACTAGGTTCTGGCCAACAGATGGGGGCACACAAGCCTAGCCCACAAAATTCACAAGCAATCTTCTACACTCTCTCTTCCTCTTGGATGACACCTATGGAGTCCACTCGTTAAAGACGACAGTATCACAAGATGGAAAGAGGCTAGATCCCTGAGTCACTGCTTGGAGTGCCACCCAACCTGCATGAGATGTGATGTGAGCAAGAAATGAATAACAAAGGTGTTCAGTTACTGAGATGTGGTTGTTAGGAGGGTTAGCCTTTCCTGAACTTCTGATTCAATTGATCTGGAGAGGGGCCCGGGCAGTTGTCTGTTTTTTAACCCTCCAGGTGATTCAAATGGGCATCCAAGGCTGAGAATCACCGGATAAGGGCAGAAATAACAAGTGAAGAGTTGCTAGGTACAGTAGAGAAATATCAAGTTTCCAGGGGTGGCCCAGGAGATGGAGAGAAGGTTGTCCAGAAATGAGAGAAGGGAGAGGCCCCAGCAACGGGTTGGGAGGCAGGGAGACCCAAAGAGGAAAGGTTGACCAGAAGATAGTCTTTGTGCTGGGAACAGTCAGGGGCACTCCAGAATAGGGGTGTTTAAAAATCAATGCTAAATTCTCATCAGTGTGGTGAGGTGGGTGATATGAGCCCCTATGGCTGCCTCCAAATCCCTAGTGCAGTTGGCCCACGCTCATCCCTGTGTGAGTGGGTGCTTTGGGCAAGTCCAAGGAAGGGCACCGGCTGCACATCTGGCCATTGTGGGAAGGAGGGGACAGTCAAAGGCCCCTCTTAAGAATCCTCTTAAGAACGATCCCAAAGCAGTGGCAGGCCAGGCTCCCCTGCAGACCGCAGGTGGAAAGGAAGGCGGATCCCCTAACCCCGAAGGATTTGCCACACACACACTGCTCTGTGGTGACACCTGGATGGCATTGTGATGTCACCTATGGCCCCTGTTGTTGAGCACCTGGCACCAATCCTAGTGTTATCACTGGGAGAACACATGACACTTTCACAGAGGGTGACCCTGAGGCCCAGAGAGGTAGAGGGACCTGCCTGTGGCCGCAAGTTCCAAGTGGGGCTGAGTGGCTTGGCCATGGAACCCCCATGGATGCTTGGGGACTCCTGGCACAGCCTTCAGAAGGAGCATCTTCTGGGGCTGGGGAGTGCCGAGGGGAGGGACGGGGAAAGGAAAACATCGCAGAACACAAGACGCCGAGGGGAGGGACGGGGAAAGGAAAACATCGCAGAACACAAGACGTGTCGCTCTAACTTCCCTTCTAGAATCATCTGTGCAGTGCTCCCCTATCCACCCAACACCAACCAAAGAGAAATGGAGCCAGAAGCCTTTCTTTTTCACATTTAATCAAAGGAAAAGAAAGAAAACTAGTCAGAAAACTCAAGATTTGGATGGCGGAGGGAGGGGAAGGGCTGGGATGGAATGTGGACAGTGGGCGGCTGGGTGCTCATTCTCCTGAGTCCCCCCAACATAGGCGTTCACAACAGGAGGAGGGAGGACAGAGTCACAGAGCTGATGCCGTGGCCACACACACCTGTTCCACCCCAGGCCTGGCAGAAATGGTGGTCACTGGGTCAGGGGGCTTCAGAAGGTAACCAAGGGGCAGGGGTGGCTGCAATAGCAGATCCTTCCCAGCCTGTATTTCCAAGTCCCACAGGGACAGTGGGAACTGGCAAGTGACCCCATGGCTTCAGGTCAGCTGGAAAACACCCTATTTTCTCCCCACTTCCAGTCCCCTTAGGCTGAGGGTGAGGTGACTCGAGGGAGAGTTGAATCAAGGATGAAAAGACACTGAGTAAAGGGCAAAGAAGAGCACGAGGGTGACGGCATAGCGTGCGCAGAGCCACACAGATGCGACAGGTGCAGGCTTGACCTTTACATCTCATGCATCTCCTATGCGAATGCAAATGAGTCCTAATACAATAAATATATTTCTCACATTTGTAATAAATATTCTGTTTATTCTCCCTCCCCTTCCCTAGGAAACGGGCACACAGTGGTTCAGGGGCCAGCCATGGCTGACTCTGCAGCGAAGACTGATTAAACACTCAGAGGAACTGGGAGGCACAGGGGCTGGGGGTTGGGGCGACCTGGGTAGTCCCCTGGGAGGGCCCCTGGGAGGACGGCTGGTGGCAGAGAGGGAAGAGGGATGAGGATGAGATGCCTGGGGGAGTCTAGGACAGCATTCTTTTCTTAAAGGGGATTCTCCTATTTTACAAAACTGCCCTCCCCAAGGACTGGAGGGTGGCATCTAGGGTGGGGGCATAATAAGAGCAGAGGAGACATCTGGGGAGGCAAGGCTCTGGAATCTGGGACAAAGGTTTCATAAGAAATGGAGATGGTGGGGAACCCCCAGAAAGGGGCCATTCTCTCCCCTCCACCAAAACCAAACCACCCCCACACACGCGCGCGCACACACACACACACACCAGTGCCAGGAACAAGAACAGGCGCCCCAGCACACGGACCCACAGGCTGTGCAGACTACAGTGTGAATGGCGCCCCCTGGAGTTGTGCATGAGGAACCTGCCAGAGGGCAACCATCCCTCTCCAAGCCCATGCACGATGCTCTGGGGCTCTCAAGGTGCCCCCGCACTCCTCCTCAGCCCCTCCAGGCCAGCAGCCCTGATGCAAGTGGGCTACCTGGACCCAGCCCAAAAGAAGGCCAAAATGGACAAAGGTCATGGTCTGGGCGCCCAAATGTGTCCCCACTGTGGGCCACAGAGAGCTGGGGGCTCTTCGGTCAATAGTAGCAGGCTCCTCGTCACAGGGCTCAGCCCTCCAACCCATCCCTCCCCCGGCTGACCCGCTGGCCCCTGCCAGCCTCGCCCACAGGCAGCAGGGCTGACCTGCTGGGCAACTGGGGAAGTCTGTGGAGAGACTCTGGCAGTGAGACGCTATGGGCGAGGGAGGGACAGAGCAGCATATACCCCTGGGACCCTGCCCCTCTATGAGGAAGCTGAGAGCTGCACTGCTCCCCAGCTGGGGCCACTGGCTCTCACTTTGGCCCCTCCAGCCTTCGAGATGGCACCAGGCTAGCACCACTGCCCAGGGCTGCCTGGCTGCCAGTGGGCCTGGCTCCCCTTGCCACATGGAAACAGCCCAAGGCCTGCTTCTAGGATGCAGAGGTGACAGGTGGGAGGAGCCCAGGAACAGGGTGAGGGTGGCCAGTCCTGAGGAGAACGGGTAACTGGGGAGAGGTGTCAGGGGGCAATGTACCTACTGACCATGTTGTCCCAAAGCAGCTTTTTTCTTCTCTGGACTGAGCATTATGGAGGGGATGCTGACATACTCCTGGGCACAGCTTGGCCCTCAGAGGGGGATATCTAGTGGCCAATAGACATTGGGAGTAGGCAGCACCTGGGCACAGAGGTACCCCATGAAGGCCCACCTCCCTGGCAGTACACGCCTCCGCGCTGGAGCCAGACCTAGGGCCCACTGGGAGCTGTTACCCAAGGAGAGCCAGGGGTGGAGGCTAAGGACTGCGGCAGGGGCCACGGGTGGGGAAGGGGATGGATTCAGGTTCTGGGTCTCAACATGAGGGGCTGAGGCCCGGCTGAACAGGCTCAGTACACCCAGCTGACGGGCACCCACTGGGGCTCCGTCCGCAGCTTCTCCATGGCTGCCTGGAGCTCGCGGAAGGTCCTCTCCAGGTTGCTGTTCACCAGGCTGAGGTCAAAGTAGTGCCCGTAGCCCCTCTGGATGCGGCTGCTCTCCTCCACCGTCCGCCTCAGGTCCGCCTCCTGCCAGGCACCGGGGGACGTCCCTCCAGTTAGGGGGCTCCATGGCCTGTCCCGCCCTCCCCAAAGCCCAACCACACCCCTCCCTGCATGCCCCAAGGTAGCTCTACTGCAACCGTGGACAGATGAGGGAAGGAAGGAAATAAGCTTTAGCACGTGCCAAGCATGGCACCAAATGCTTTGCAACCCATGCAATTTTCACTACAGTTCTGCAAGGCTGCAAGGCAGGATGAATTAGCTCCCATTTACAACAGAGAAAACTGAGGTACAAAGAGGTCCCATAGCTGGCCAGGGGCTGAACAGGGTCTGCCTGACTCCCAAGCCAGTGCTCCCTCCAGTCTGCCTAGGCCCCTTGCCTTTGCAGCTGGTACCAGGGCAACCCACAAGTGCCCATGGCAATCCCCACCCCTGACCCAGGGGAAGCTGGCTGGGCAGGGGGGGGCAGGGAACTTGAAGGCTGACTTAAATAAGCCGAAGCCAGCTGTGTCCCAGCAGCTCCAGTTGGCCACATCTGTTGCCAGGGAGGAGGTGGCCAGAGTTCCCTCAGGGGGCCACCGGCAGAAGGGAGTCCAGCCCAGGCAGCCTCTCCAGAGCCCCAGCGGACCTGGGGCCTGAGAGCTGCAGTACCAGGCGTGGCCAGCGGAGGGACCCCTGAGCTCTAAGCTCTGCAAAGCCCACAACTCCTGGGAAGGCGGCAGCAAGGCACCGGGTCCTGCTACCAAGCTTGCAGCCTCTTCTCCAGACGCTGCCTGCTCCCTGTGCTAACTCACGACTCCAGCGAGCCGTCCAGCCTCTGGCTTCCTCCCTCCCTTCAGCCTCCCCTGAGCTGTAAGCAACCCCGGGCCCACCTAGCCCACCTCTGGCCCACAGGTCTTCCACGGGCCCTCTGGAAGTCCTCTGGCCAGCAGCCCTCTGTGCCAGTGGAGTGGACCAAGCAGTGGACCTGGATTCAGAAGCTCCTGCACCCCAGGCTAGCTGTGTCCCCGGCTCGCTCTGAGACTTTGGACTCTTCACTTCCTCCCCAGACCTCCCTTTCCACATCTATAAAGCCGGGATCACAGTCCTCCCTCACTGATAACTTGAGTGGGTACCTCTCCCTTCACCCACCACCACCTCCTTCTCTTCATTAGCTGGGGCTGCCCCCAGCACCCCAGGCAGCCAGCAGACCCCTCCCCCCATGCCGCAGAGCCCTCACCGTCAGCTGCTTGGTGGACACTCCGCTCTCCAGCGCAGCCCGGTTCATGGCCCGCAGAGTCTCAAAGTCCGGGGCCTCGATGAACACCACGTATGGGACAAACTCGGCTGTTCTCAGCACCTTCACTGCCTGCGGGAGGAGAAGGGGGGTCTGGGAGTATATCCCCACGTCCGCCCTGGGAATTGGAGGAAGGCTATCTGGGGTGACTGACTGTGGTGGGCACCTGAGAGTGGATGACAAAGGAGTGCCTGGGGCTCTGGGACATGAGTCCCGGGGACGAATGGTAGCCCAGCAGCCGTGAGGTGGCTGGAGGAGTCTAGAGGAGGAACGGGAGACCTGGGAGACTGAGAAAGAGGTTCTGGGTGGGCTGGGTCCCTCGCAGTAGTTGAGGGTGGAGGGGATGTATGAGTGTGCTTGGGTGACAAGTGCCTGGAAATATATGGGGGAGCAGAGAGGATGCTGGGAAGGAGCGGGCGGGGGCGGTACCTGGGGGTTGACATCCAGCACGCACACCTTGCCGGCAGCGACCACACCCCGGATGGAGTCGATGCGTGTGCCATACAGGTTGCCCTCGTATTCGCCATGTTCCAGGTAGCGCCCAGCACGGATGTCAGCCTCCATCTCCCCCCGGGACACGAAGCTGTAACCCTGGCCTTCCCGCTCTGAGTCCTTGGGTCGCCGGGATGTGTCTAGGGTGTAGGAGGGGCCGAATGGGCACAGGCAGGTCACCCAACTCAGACACTCATGCACACGTCCTACCTGTGCTCCCCTGTTCTCACCTTGCCAGCACTGCTGCCTCCCCACACCCCTGCCCTCACCCTCTCCTCTGGCACACAGTTTGTACAGATGGGAGGCTGAGGCCCAGAAAGGGTAATGTGCAGCCGAAAGTCACACAGTAAGGGCCAAGCAGACCTGGGGCAGCACTCTCATTTCTGCCTCCGGCAGCCAGGAGCTTCCGCCACTCCTGCTGGTCCTGTCACTAAGAAGCCCTGTCTTCCACAAGGCCACACACAGCTCATAGCCCTATTTCACCTGGGTCCCCAGTTGGACACTCATTTTTTTCACACCTTTTATTATAGCAAGTGAAACATGAGAGAAGGAAAGGGAGGCAAGCCCAGCCCACTTGGCCACCCGCTGCGGGGCACCTCCGTTGCCTCTCCCGAGCCTGCAGGACCCCCATCCACCCGCAGAGGGCGCACACCCCACACCATGCACCCGAAGGTGCTCCTGGTGCGGGTGAAGATGCCCAGCCCTGGACCCAACCCTGGCTCCCAGGGCAGCCTGTACTTTCTGTCGCCCACCCAGCAGTGCCCAGCGGAACCCACTCACAGGGCACCGTGGTGCCGTAGCGATCTGGATCCCACATGATGAGCTTGTTCTTCAGGCTGCGCCGGCCCACACCCTGAGCGCCAATCAGCACCAGGGTTTTCCGGCGGAATGGGGGCATGCGGGCCACCTCCTCGTAAATGAGCAGCTCGTGGCGGTCAAACTCTGGACACAGGGAGATGGCACTGCTCATCAGGCTACACGGCGGGGGAGGGCAGAGCTATCAGGGAGGCCAAGGGTAAGAGGGCTCAGGACCAGGGAAGCAGGCAGGAACTGGGAGGAACCGGGCAGGCCTAGGGACAGGGCTGGTGAGCGTATTCACAAGTCATGGAGGGGGAGGGGATATGCAGTATTAGAGGAGGACAGGGGAGAGGGGGCTCTAACACCCACCTGCATTCTTGGTGGTCAAATACATCATTCTCTTCTTTTTCTTTCCTGAAAGGCTGCCGCATAGGGTCCCTAGCCATAGTGAGGTGGGTGAGCGAGGCAGGCAGGGCCCTGCCAGGTCCCAGATTGGGGTCTGGGGTGGGGGGACCTCCTACCTGAGGTCGGTGTCAGCTCCAGGTCCCGCTTGACAAATGCTTTCCGCTTCTCCTCCAGCAGCTGGCTGGGGATGAGCCCGGCACTGCCCCCTTCTACGTGGCATGCCTGAAATGGACATGACAGAAGACCTGCCTGAGCCAGAGGACCTCTCTCCACACCCTCGCCTCCCCCACACGCCATACCTGGAGAGGCTGCAGGGCGCCCAGGGCTCACCTGCCACCAGTTGGCATCGTCCTGGTTTACAATCTGGAGCAAGTCCCCAGCGTTGAAACGTAGGCCTGCTTCCTTGCAGGGGATGAGGCTGTCTCGGACCGGGTCATAGTCAAAGTGGCATTTGACAAATACCTAGGCCCAGGAATCGGGGAAGGGTCAAGGGAAGGGGAAGGGGAAAGCTCCCGGGGGTGGCGTGGGGTGGGTGTGTGTGTGACACAGTCCACCCCCAGCCCACTCCCCTCATAAAGACGCAAGAGGTGCTGGCACTGCCTCCCCACCAGAAGAGTGATGCCACCAGGCCCACCTGGCTCCCCTCCCTGGTACCAGCCACCCTTCGCATCTACAACTAAGGGGACTAGATTGAGGGGTGAGAAAACTGCTTAGGGTTGGGAAGGGCCTTAGAACCAAGGAGGTGGGATCACGGGGTAGTGGACAAGACCTTGAAACCCACTCCTAGACCCCTCCCTCCACCCACCCCCTCCCTTTGGAGGGGTCTCTGGTAGAGGGCGAGAGAACCAATAGGAAAGATAGGCAGAGCAGCCGGCCCTACGCAATCCACCAACCAGGAGGCAGCTGTCTGGAACACGTGACAAGCCCCATCCTGTGCATGCGCACTGCACATGTGCTCGAAGACCGCTGCACACGATACAGGTGCTCACTGGTACATGCTCTGGCCAAGGATGTGTACACAACCTTTGCACATGCGCATGAGTGCCTAAGCATAATGTGGGCAAATGCATGAGCCCGTGCACGTGCATCACACATAGAGGCCTGAACTGGCCTGTACTCAGCTGCCCCTAGCCTGCAGGTCCCACTCCCCATCTTGCCCCCGAGCAAACAGGCTGGAAAGGAGGAGCTCCATGAGACCTGCGACCCCAGAAGCTAGGAGGCTCAACCATCCCTTGGACCTTGAGCTGGGTGAGGGACTGGGTGGAGGGGCCCACCTGGCGGGGCAGATGGGGCTCCTGGTAGCTGGGCAGGATCTTGAGGATGACGCTGCCGCTGGCGCTGCGCAGGAGCTCCTGCAGCGCGCGGGGGTCGCTGCCCACCGGTTGCCCGTTCACCTCCTTGATGATGTCGCCCACGTGCAGCAGGCCTTGCTGAGCCACCATGCCCCCGTGCAGAATGCGCGCGATCACCAACTCACCGCCCTCCACGCGGAACGTCACACCCTGGGGGACCGAGGGCGTGTATGATGGGGCCCCAGCTGCTCCAAGTCAGAATCTTCGAATAGGTCTCCTAATAGGCCCTCCATTCCTGTCCCCACCCGCCCATCCCCGCCCTCACAAAGTCCTTTTCCATCCTTCTTCCCAAATTCTTCACTTATAGGAGGCGCTAATGGGGGAAAGGGGGCAGACGGAGAGGATCTGACACATGTATGTGCGCAGCTGCGTGCACAGTGTCTGGTCTCCTGGGTCTGCACAGGCCCTGCCCGGTGCAAAGCTAAAGCTGAGTCCATCTTCATCATCCTGATCGGTTCTTTTTTTTGGTCCTCAACTGGTTACTCTCAATCCCTGCCCCCACCAGCCCCCACCTCTGACCCCGCCCAGCACCCTCACCAGATGCTCTCCAGCTGTCTTGCGGATGCCCACCATGCGCACTGCGTCGGGAGGTACCGGCTGGTTGCTGAATGTGGGGTCCAGGCCAGGGCTGGGAGGTGGTGTCTCATAGGTCTTTGAGGCCACAGAGTCGTGCGTCTCCAGAAGGGACTGGGCAGGTGGTGGGATGAGGAGGGACAATGGGGCAGTGCCCTGTGGTCCCTTCCCATCCCAGCTCCCAACTTCCTGCCCGCCCCTGCCCCAGCGTCACGTCCCAGGCGCCACCCCGGACCCCTTCTGCTCTCCCACCCCAGCCCCAGCAGCCAGGAACCTGGAAGTGGGGCTCCTGGAGGATGCGGGCCAGCTCAGCGGCGGTGCTGCTCTGCTCCGCCAGCTGCGCCAGGTCCCGCAGGATCTCCTGCACCAGCTCCAGGTTGTTGTCTCGGACAGCTTCCAGCTTCGTCTCCTCCAGCCTTTCGTGGGCCTGGGGGTGGAGGCAGAAAAGGTGAGGCTGGGCTCTTCCCTAGAAGGTCTGGGATCCAAAACGGTGCCCCCTTGCTCAGCTCGCAGGCATTTCCCCACCCGACCCCCAGCCCCTTCACAGCTCCAGCCCCCAATGCTGACTTTAGAGCCCACCACAGCATTGCTTCTCACTCACTCGCACACAAGCACACTCACACGAGGGCGTGCGATTCTTTGCTTTCTCTTTTCTTCCCCAAAATGATGATTAAGACCCGGTTTAAGGAAAGGAGAATCCACAAGACAAACCTTCATTTGCATCCCTTTGCCACAGAGGGTCATCAAAAATTATCAAGTTGTCCCTAGCCCCCAGGACCTTATATACATCATAGTTCAAGGACAGCTTCTTTTACCCCACATCATGGTTGCGTGGGGCCTTGGAGACCCTGCCGCCCAGGATGAGGAAGCCAAGAAGGTGGAGTAACTTTCCTAAGGTCACTGGGACTTGAACCTGGGTCTCCAGGCCCTCAACCCAATGCTCCCAGTGAGTGAGGGGACAAAAAAATCAGTACATGGTGCCAGGAGAGGGCCCTGCACCTACTTGTTGCTCTACTGGCTCTGGGCTCCATGACAAGGTGCTCTGAAAATGGAAAAGGTGCTCAGTGACAGTCCAGTGAGGAGCATTATGTTAGATGCATTGGAAAAAAAGGAGTTGCATGTAGGGAATATGTATGAAGACTTTTTCCCCCTCTGAATCATTTGAAAGATAGTTGCAAACAATACAAGCCACTTCATCCCAAAGTATTTCTGCATGTATCTCCTAAGAACAAAGACATTCTTCTGCATAAACTACAATACCATTATCCTATGCGAGAAATTTAACATTGATATATTGATACAATATTATTTAACAGACAGCCCATATTCAAATGTTCACTCTTGTCCAAAAATATCCATTATAGTTCTATTTTTTTCTGATCCAGGATCTAATCAATGATCATATGTTGCATTTGGTTGTCAAATCTTTTTATTCTTCTTTAATTTAGAACAGACCCCAATAACTTTTGGACTTTCAGGATATTTTTAGATTTATCTGATTGTTTCCTCATGATTAGACTTAATTGTTTTCGCAAGAGTTCTACACAGGTGATCTTGTGTTTTTCCCATCCTTTGAGACCATGTGACAATCCTGTTCTCCAATAATCCTTCAGCAATGGATTTAGCATCCATGTATGACCCTTGTCCAAATCAATTATTATTAATATATTGGAGACTTTAAAATACTATCTATCATCCCTTCTACATTTCTTAGGTGGCATTCTACTATAAGAAAGAGATTTTCTTTTCTTCCTTCCACCCTGCCCGCTTCCCTTTCTCTCTCCCTCTCTCGTGGTATCACTGTGGATTTTTGTTTACTCAATGTGCTCTAATCCTTTACTGTCAGTATCTTTGTTGGCTCAGTTTATCCCAAATTTGTCCGGTGGGCACCCCCTTCACACCTGTGTCCTGTTGACTTGTTTCCCTCAGTTCTTAAGAACCTCCCTCATTCTGGCCCAGGCTCATCTGATACTTTCCCCACATCAGGTGTGGAATCAGCAATTTCTCCATGCAACTCAGACTCCTTTTGGCAGGGAATGGTATTTAGAAACCAAGATCTGGGCACTCAGTACTCATTGCTTCTGATGCGTCATTTCTTTAGTAGACATTTATTTGTCAATACTGATAGTTCCAATTAACATCAAACTCTAGGATTTTCCTCATCTTCTCCCATTCCATATTTGTATCTCTCTTCTCCTTCAGTGGAACTGATTTCCCCATAACATCGACATATATATTTATTTGTTCTGTCCTTTAATATTCAAAAAAGTATCAGAATTGCTATATTACTGCTACTCTCTATCACAGAATTACTAAGAAAAAAATCAAGATGTATCTGTAATTCTCTTTGTCCTCAGAATATTGATGTCTAATAGAATTTACAGCATTAATGGAAGTGTCCTGTAGCTCTTCTGTCCAATATGGTAGCTGCTGGCCACATATCATTATTGAAATGTGGCAAGTATTTTATTTAAGCATTTTAGTTTAAGTATTGCCTTAGTCCATTTTTGCTACTATAACAAAATACCTGAGACTGGGTAATTTATAAATAATAAAAATTTATTTCTTACAGCTCTGGAGGCTGGGAAGTCCAAGATCAAGGCACTGTCATTCAGTGTCTGGTAAAGGCCTTCTTGCTATGTCCTCACATGGCAGAAGGTGGAAGGGTAAAAAGGGCCTACCTGGTTCCCTCCAGCCCTTTTATAAGGTCACTAATCCCATTCATGAGAGCTCCATCCTTATGACTTCATCACTTTCTAAAGGCTCCACCTCTTAATGCTGTTGCATTGGCAATTAAGTTTCAACAAGAATTTTGGAAGGGATCCAAACATTCAAACCATAGCAAGTATTTTCATTTCAATTTAAGTATTTAAATAAATAGCCATATGTGGCTAGTGGTTACTGTACTAAATGGCACAGCCTTAGAATATATCCCACGTAGGGTGTATAGGCAGAGTATTGTGGGCAAAAGTTACTTGAATTAATTCCTCTTCTGTTTGATTATGCTAACAATTTGACATACAGATAGAGTCACTTATCTGCCCTTAATTTTAGGATTTTTTAAAATTCTTTTTAATTTGATCTTGTTTTTTGAATATGTATTTTTCATGGCTCAAATTTCAACTCTGTATACAAAGTAAACACAAAGTATCAATTCCATCCTCATTGCTTATACCTCACTCACAACCACACCCTACAGGTTAATCCTTTTTGTTAGTTTCCAATTTATCCTACCAGTTTCTTTACACAAAAATAAATATTTCCCTTTCTTTCCTATATAAAAGTTAGAACACTGTATATACTCTTTGATACCTTGGGGCTTTGGTTTGTTTAACTGATTAGGTTTGTTGTCTGGCTTTTTACTTACCAGTATGCCCTGGAAATCACTCCATGCCACTACATGCAGATCTTCCTCTATTATTATTTGTTTTTAATTACTGCATTTGGCTTCATTGCATGACTGGAGTCCCGTAATTTATTCATCCAGTCCCCAATATTTCCAGTATTTTGCTATTGCAAATAATGCTACAGTGAATAGGCTTGGCATAGTGCTCTATATCTGTGGAGAAGATCTTCCATGTAAATTCCTAGAAGTCTTGCTGGGTTGAGCGGTAAACACATAAATATAAAATAAACGTAAGTAATTTTCTTAGATATTGACAAATTCTCCTCCATGGGGCTTGGGCCAATTTGCCCTCCCACCAGCACTGTCTGAGAGATTTTCCTAAAGCTTACCACCAGAGCGTTGATCAAACCTCTGAATATCTGCCAATCACATGGATGAGAAATGATCTCTCAGTGGGGCTTAATTTGCATTTTGCTTATTATGAGTGAAGCCAAGCATCTCTTCATATGTTTAAGGGCCATCTGCATATCTTTTTCTGTGAACTATCTGTTCATGTGTTTTGCCAATTTTTCTATCAGGTCTCAGATTTTTTTCTTTTTCCCATTTTAAAAAAATGTTTCTTCTGTTTTGGGAAGATTAGCTCTTTGTTTGTGATATCTCTTACAAATTATTTCCCCCCAGTTTGCCATTTGTCTTTTGATTCTGCTTATGGTATTTTTGCCATGCAAAAAAATTTTTTAGTATGGTTGTATTTATTAATCTTTTATGCATCTGAATTTTGAGGCATAGTTTTTTAAAAGGGGGGGGCTTTCCCCAGACACAGATCCATGTTTTCTTCTAGGACAAGTACAGTTTATATTTTCACATTTAGATCTCTGATCTGCTTGGAGTTCATTCTGATACATGGTGTGAGGTATGGACCCACTCTGATGTCTTTTGAAATGACTATCTGATGTCTCAATACCATTATTAAAAATTCATAAGAAAAGTATTTGATTTTTTTTTAGGTGTGAAAATGGTGGTGTGATTATGTTTTTAAAAGAACCCTTGTCTTTTGATATACATACTGAAATACAGATAAAATTATATTATGTCTGAGATTTGCTTCAAAATAATTCAGGAGAGAGGGAAGTGGGTGGAGATATGGATGAAACAAGATTATTCACGAGTTGTTAAATGTTGAAATGGGGTGATGGATGATGGGAGTTCAGGATATCATTTTGAAATTTTCCATAATAGAAAGTTTTTTAAGCCCATGAGATAGGGAGATTTTAATAACATCTCATAGGAATATTACGAGGATTTGCTGAGAAGGACACAGTGGCTGGCACACAACAGGTGCTCAGTAAAGGTTAGACGCTCTCTGCCTAGGTTCCCCTAAACAGGCCTGGGCAACAGCATCCAACATGGCCCCACAGTCACCCAAAGCATCCTCTGCCAAGTGGCCAGCATTTTGGACTGACTCCCACAGCCTGGCTGGGCAGAGTGTTCCTACTGGGAGAAACAGACAACCGAAGGGACAAAGGAGTAGCGCTCGGGGACAGGGATGTGATCCTAGTCACTTAGTTCAGCACAGCCCATAGAGACCCTCAGTGAGAGATGGAGGTGTCCCTGGCTTTGTGTCACCACTGTGCCTAGGATAATGCTGGGAATCGAAACCCCCATAACTGAGTTTCAATAATGAACAAAGACACTCAGGCAGCGACAATCTCACCATGGCAACCCTAATGGTGCTTCTTCAGTTTAAGGGAAGCCAGCTCTGGCCCAGGTGTCCTGACATGAGCATTAGAAAGATTGCTTGTTTGGGCCTTGGCCCCTTGTGTACTATGGGTGGGTGGAGGACAAGTTTCCCCAGGAGACTCGCTTGATCAAGGGGTTGCCAGGGTGCCTCCTAAGTCACTAACCTCCCATCTTTGACTTAATGACACCCCCTCCCCCACCCAGGGCTGATCCATCCCTCCTCCTGTGGCCACCTCTGGGCACTTTATACCTGCAGATGTAAAAGCACAGCTTTCCAAGCTTAACCTGCACAGCCCAGAGGAAGCTTTAAACATTTAATCATTCAAATACAAAACAAACACCTCAGCAGGCTGACCTAAACAGCTGATGGACCAGCATGATCACAATTTGCAACACACTTTTTGGACTTTGGAAACTCAGAACTGGATTAATCATAATCCTTGCTTCATGGTATATGCTCATGATTGGTTTGCACATGGCTTCTTTGTAGTTAGTGAGTATTAGACATTTTTATGGATATAACAAGGATATAAGAACCCACCACCCAAACCAAAAACAAGGCTCTTGACAACATCCTACATCTACCCACATGCCCCACTCACCCTGCCACTCCCAGAAAGCCCTGTCTTGGTTCCCTGTTTTCATCATCCCCAGCTTCCTGTTTAAAGAGCTTTAATATATCTATATGTAGTCTACATAGTCCTAAAATGGATATAGTTACTTTTACCTTTACAAAAAGGGAATCATGGTTTTATTTATATATTATTATGTTAAATATTATATATTAACAATATGATATATTATTAAATATTATTAATATAATATATTATTATATATTTGTATTATATATATTCTTCCGTGGGGCCTGATTTTTTTCACTTAATATTATTAAGTAAAAAACTATTTTACTTACTACTTTTTCACTCACTATTATTTTGCTAAGATTTATGCTTATTTTTCATATCAAGTGATAAATGCAGTATTAGAGGCTCCAGGCCCCAAAACCAGAAGCGTGACTTGAATTTCTGCAGCAACCATTTGTCTCATTCTGCTCTGAAAATCATCCTCAGCAAAGCAGGGGCTCAAGCTCATGATAGACCAGAAGCGTGGGCCAGGGACACACTGGTTCACGGTGGGCCAGCGCTGCCACCCAGCTCTGCCGGCTCCTGCTTCGGGGCCACAGTAGGCTGCAAATGCAGAAACACCACACAGCCACTTCTTTGAAAAGCCTTTCCCTCCGCCCTCCCACTCCAACCCCTCTGACTGTGGCAGAAGGAATTCTCATTTGAAGCCCAGGCTCATAATTAAATAGTTCAGAAACTAAAAGGCATCCCAGTGAGGGGTGTGCCAGAAGGTAAAGGAATTCTTCAGTCTGAGTTTGACAAATGTGACTTGCTCTGGCCAATGGGGCTTAGCAAATGTGATGCAAACAGAGGCCTGGAAAGTGCTTGGAATTTGAGGTTTGTCCCCCCTTGCTGGTGAGACCACCATGTGAAGAAGCCTGGACCACCCTCCTAGAGGAGGAAACCAGGTGGAGGGAGGGGTCTGGCCACTACAGCCGTTGCAGCCTTCCCGGCTGCGACACCGGACATGTGAGTGAGGCCATCCTAGACCACCCAGCCCCAGCTGAGCAAGCCCAGACCAGAAAACCACCCAACCAGCAGGCAGAACGAGGAGAGCCAAAGCACGATTGTTTTACACCACTACACAGTGGGTGGGTGGCTACGCAGCAAGAGCTAACTGATACCCTGGGCTCCCCGCTGCTGTACCCTCTGCCTGTCATGCTCCCCTGTCAGAGCCCCCATCTTAGTGACCTCGCTGGACCCTTATTCTTCTAGGGACCTGTCTTGCTTCGCCAGCTCTCCCACTCCTGCCTCCTCTCTAGACTAGAGTCCTCCCTGGGAATTCCAGTCCAATGCTAAGACTATATTATAACGACTCTTTTTGGTTTAAAATAAAGTCATAAGCTCCACCTAGCCCCACCACGACTCTGAGAGATCAGTATCATTCTCTCCACTTCTCAGAAGAAATAACTGAAGCTCAGAGAGGCTGATAGACATGCCAAAGTCACACAGCAGTCAGTGAATCTTCTGACTCCAGACCCTGTGTTCTTAGATCTTAATCTCATGTGGATTAGTTCACACACTGCATTCATTTGCCTCCCAGCTGGCACATGTCCCCACTGGTAACAATTTTTCAGAATTTATGAATGTCACCTGCCTTGGATTCCTCACCTAGGCCTTGCCTGCTGTGAAAACACCTGATCCACATCAGCCCAGATGCCAGCCACCTGCCAGGGCTGCCACCTGCTGTCTGCAGCCAACCGCCTAGATTTATGGCCTGCCTGCCAGATTTGACTTTCCTGCAGAGCCTTTAACTCTCTGGGTTTGTCCCCTCAGGCCCTGCACCCCCCTCGTTCCAGATCTTCCCAGCCCGGCCCCTCCTGCACTGTCTGCCATATCCCCAGAGAGGAGAGTCAAGGCCAGCTCCACAAGGGTAAGGGCGTGAGGCCAACAGCTACCACATGTGGTTCCAAACCGGTTCCTTTCCTGTGGGTTTTTGCACCACTATGCCAGGAAAACCAAGTTTTTGCAGCTGGATTTTTTATCAAAGTGCTGTGTCTATTAGGTAAGATATCTTAGAAATCTATGTACGTATAATAATTAAAATTGGTGAGAAGGAAGAAGTAGGTCCCCTTGTCCAACATTCTCTGTGCTTGAAACATGCTTAATTACTTGTTTTTGTTTTTATATATATATTTTTAGAGACAGGGTCTTGCTATGTTGCCCAGGCTGGACTCAAACTCCTGGGCTCAAGCAGTCCTCCCGTCTCAGCCTCCTGAGTAGCTGAGGTTACAGGTGCACTTATTTTATTTTTAATAAATGAGTAGAATCCTCAATCACTGAATGAAAAGCAACCTGCCTTTCTCCAGTCTCCTCCAATCTGCTCAGTTTTCTCTTCCCCAAACTTCCCACTGTTAACCCTCTCGGGCTTTTCATCTTCCATTGTCAACAGCTCCTCAAGTCTTCAACCATCCCACAGATGATAAGTGACCAGGCTGTGTCCCCGGGACAAGCGTCCCCCATGGCTACTCTCTCCCTCCAGTGGGACCTGGTCCACCTCTACATTCACACTCCATGCCAGGGCTGGCCACAGCCATGCTGTGACGCAGAGTCCCCTCCCTGTAGAAAATCTACCTGGTACAATCTGGCTGTACCACCTTCTCCCTCCTCAACTTCACTTTATTGCTGACTTCCTGGGCACTGCCACCACAACTCACAGAAGACCCTGGGGACTGCCTCAGTCTTCTCCCCGCCTACCATAGCCCCAGATTCCAATGCCACCGTCGCACCATTGCTTAAAAACCATAGAGGCCCTCGGTGCTCACAGGAGGATGCCCAAGCCCCCAGGCACAGCCCCCAGCACCCCCAGACCTGCCAGCCTCTGCCCAGCTCACACCCCTCACCTCACACCTGAGGGTCCAGCCTCACACCAACACTTACAGCCCCTGCGCACTTCTCTTTCTCACCTCTGCTTCCGCTCCAGCTCTGCCTGTGGCCCAGAGTGCCCTCCCCTTCCTCCTCATCCTTCCACACTCAGCTCAAGTGGCCCTTCCTCCAAGAAGCCTTCCCTGCCCAGCCCAGGTTGGGTTAGGCACCTGCTCCCAAAATGCCTGGTATATCTGCTTCTATCACTGCCATTACCAAATTGCCTTATCATTTTCTCTTTCCATGAGTCTCTCCCCCACCTGACACATGGCAGACCCTAAAAAGACATCTGCACAAAACACTCAAAGGCAGAGGGACAGGCGGGATGAACTCCGGAGATTCCACCGCACAGGCATGCTGGCCCCACCAGTTACACCCTCCACAAACGTCTGTCCCCGCACTCACCAGCCAGGTGTGGGGGCAGCCCCTCTACCTGCAGCCGCTCAGGTTCATCACCCGGGCATGATGTTCTTCCACATACCCCTTCAGAGGGCCTCTTATGCCACATGCCCCATTCTCAGGGCCCCCTGTGGCCAACACCCCATCCCCTACCGTGCCTCCCTAGGCACAGCGTCATTGTGCCCACCTCCCTGGAACACTGTACCTTGGCCAGGGATCTTACTATGGGACTTTCCATAATGCCTCGAAGGAAGATCAGGTCCAGCTCCGCAGCCCCCGTGGCATTAGGGAGGGATCCCAGGTTGTCCAGGACTTGCTGCATGGCTGAGGGAAGGGGTGGGCAGTGAGACACACAGGTAGCAGCTGGGCACAGAAGACTCAAACACACAACACCTCCCCCTCCCCCACTCCCACATCCTACAGAACACAGCCCCTCCCCAGCAGCACGTTCCTCCCTGGCCAGCACAGGCACCCCAGGCCTAGAACAGGGGCTCTGGGGGAGAGGGGCAGTGGGGAGAAGCAGTTTCCTTGGCCTGTTCTTTCTACCCTAGGTAATGCCAGCCTGGGCAGGTGGGAGGCTCCAGGCAACAGGAAAGGACTCTGAAGTGGGGGCAGGGGAGAAAGGGAAGCAGGTGTCAGGTTCCAAGTTCTGCCCTGCACCAGACAACCACAGGCTCAACCTCTAGATGGGCTGAAGCCCCAGTACTCGGCCACCTGCACCTGGCAGGCTCAGGGATGAGAGAGACAGCTTGGAGCATGGCCTTGAGTGCAGGCCAGAGTCAAGCAGGCCCACACAGGAGGCAGGCTTTGTGCAGCATCTAGTCCAAGCCACACCAATAATTCAGTGTGATGTTGCACAAGTCACTGTCACTCACTGGCCTTAGTCTTTCCATCCTGTAAAATGGGCGGGTTGGACTAGATGATATCTATAGACCCTTCAGCTCTGACATACAGTGATCTATAATCATTGAGAAATTAACAAGGATGACATTGGAACTGAAGCTAAGGCCCAGAATGTTGGCAGGAACTGGGAAAACAGGCGCCAGGAGCCTGGGATGGCTGTGGCACCCAAGGGCAGAGGTCAGACCAAGTTGTCCCAGGGATCAGCAAACTCTCAGCCTGGGACAGGACGTAACCAAGGACATGAGAACACCTGAAGCTGGGCCACAGCAATGGCACCAAGGTCTGCAGTGGGGGTTGCCTTCACCCACCGGCAGAGGTGGGAGCTCCAGGCTGTGGCAGATTCTGGGGGAAGGAAGGAAGAAGCAGAGTGTGCCCAGCCGGGGGCAGAGATGGGCAAGGGGTATCATTACTCTGCCACCTTGCCGCCCACACCTATATCTACATAACAGCACCCAAACTATGAAGGAGGGGGGTAGACACACTCCCTGGCACCTCTCAAGGCTCTTGTCAGTGCTCCTCTCCTCCAGGAAGGAATGGGGGTGGAGAGGAGGGGCACCGAAAATCCAGCTGGCAGAGACAGTTCAGGGACTCCTGGACTCCTATCTCCTTTCCCCTCCTCTCCCTGCCTTCTCCAGAAACAACATCTAAGCCTGCCCTCCAGATCCCTTCTGCCCAGGCCAGGGCTTGGCGTTAGTCAGAGACCTGCAAGGCCCTCAGTGGTCTCTGAAAGGGGCCAGGGTAGGGCCCATTCCCACTCTGCCGGAGTATGCTGGGATTCAGCCTCCGCAGCCTGCCAGTTATGGGGGTTGGACTGAGCCAGGGAAGTTGGTGCCCTCTGCTCAGGCCAGCTCTCCTGGAGGGCCGTGCCCCTAGATCCCTCCGGCTCCTGGGGGCCCGCTCCTAGGGCACCCTCCCCAAATGCCCCAAACCACACGAGAGGAGGGTAGGTTAGAGGCCAGCTTCCCCAGCCCCCGCCCCGCCCGCCCTTCCCTACCTTCCCTCCGGAGCTCCGCTTCCTCAGAGGAGCCCAGGGATATACCCTCCAAGGAGGCCCCGCTGCCTGGGCTGCCCGCCATGGCACCCCAGCCCCAGGAGCAGCCCGCACACCGCCGCCTGCCGCCTCCCGGGCCAGAGTGGGACCGCGCTGGAGAAGGCGGGTCTCGGGGAACACCCTCTGGAGTGGCAGCCAATAGCAAGGCTCAGCCGCCGTGGCCGCCCTGCTGATTGGCCGAGGCCCCGACAGGCGCTGCCGCGTGGGGAGCGGGCGGTAACCGGTGGGAGAAGGGCGGTGGGAAACAGAGTCCTCATCCTACAGATGGCCCGATCCCCAGATCCCCAGCCTGTTAGTACCCGTGGGGGTGGGGAGGAGGCGGCTAAGAGGTGTGGGGGGCTGGCGTAAGCGTGAAGTACCCTTCACGACAGGTGCGGCGCCCAGAGACGCTGCCCTTACAGCCGGCTGCAGGAAACCCAGGGGAGAGGGGGTCTTGGCCCCATCTCGTTCCTGTCCCCCTCTTTTCTAGAAGTCCTTCCTCTAATACACCCTTTGCCACCTCCTCCTCGTGCCCTCTGACCTCTGCTCTCTCTCCCCTCTCCAGGCGTTGTTTCCTTTACAATGACCCCTTCAGTCAAACGAAGTCCCCAAGAACGACTCCGTCCTCCACCAGGAGGTAGTAGCACCACAGTGGCTTGGTGCAAATGCCTCAAGCCCCAAATGCCTCCCGCACCTGCCTGCCAGCTCTCCGCAGGAGGAGGCGGGGTACATGGGGAGGTGGCATCACTGCGGGCAGGTGAGGGCTCCCAAGCACTTCTGGCCCCACACCTCAGCAGCAGCTTCTCCCCCCACCCCATCCCCCATTAGCTTTGGCCAAGGGGGTGATGCCCACAAGGCAAGTCAGGCACCTTGGAAACGGGAAAGGAAAAGGTGAGGGCACCTTTATGCAGCAGGGAAAAGGGAAAGGGTAGGCAGGAGGGAGGGGCTTGGCCTCAGCCCAGTGCCCCCGTTCCTCCGAGACCCTGTACCCAAGAGGCCACCACAAGGGTGCTGCAGCCACCAGTCAGCCATTCCTTGAGGAGCGGCACCAGGTCGCATTGCACCCCTGGTTGCCATGGCATCAGGATCACACACCAGGACAGTAACCCAGGGATGCAAGAGAGATTTAAAGGGACAGCTGTATCTGAAGGCAGCTGCCCCGACCCCTGCTATCCCAGCCTTGATTCCGCGGGAAAGGCTGCAGGTCAGGAGACACCAGCGGCAAGATAAATCCTCAGCAGCCTGAGCAAGAGCGAGAACCTGTCTCTACTAAAAAAAAAAAAAAAAAATAGAAAAACTCGCTGGGCATCACGGCACGCGCCTGTAGTCCCAGGTACTCGGGAGGCTGAAGTTGCTTGAGTCCAGGAGTTTGAGGTTGCAGTGAGCTATGGTGATGCCACTGCACTCTACCCAGAGCAACAGAGCAAGACTCTGCCTCCAAAAAAAATAAATAAATAAACGTGAAAAGATAAACTCTCAGCCCCTGTCATCACCCACATATCTCCCAACCCACCCCAACCCTCAGGGAAAGGCCCCTCACTTTACTCAAAGTAGAGTTGGGGTCTCTCTGCAAGAGGAATTCACCCACACCATTGCCCTCCCTCCAAATGACCATGGGTGAAGGGCGGGAGAAGGACCTTGCTGGCCTCACCTTCTGCAGAGTCCCAGGCAGGGATCTCCCAGGGAAGGAGGGAAGGGGGAGCCTGACCTCAGAGGCAGGGGCAGCTGTCTCTCTGTCAGTCCTGTGGGAAGTGTACTGACCACCAGATGACAAGGGGCAGAACCTGCCATGAGATTTTTGAGGCTAGGAGCTCATACAGCCCTGAGTGGGGCAGAGGCTGCGTGAGGGAAGAGAAACACTTTGTAATTCTTCCTTTGGATGTGGGAAGCCAGAAGCAGCCCATGGCACAACAGCAGGGGGAAGCAGGAGCCCCAGGAGTCCTTCGGGGAGGCAGGCCCCCCACCCACACCCCTAGGCTCCACTCCCTGCCCTGTCCCCCTCAGCCTCCACACACCCCTAGCAAGTGGCCTGCAGCAGGGAAGCCAAATTGCTGGGCCTGCTCCTGCACCCCACCCCCCCAGCCAGGCACTATTAATGGGTTTACTGGGCAGCCCAGATTGAGAGGGCTTTAAGCACAGGATCAGGGATGGGTTTAATTAACCCCTAAGCAGCTTATAGTGGGGCCCAGCACTGGAGCTGGACAGGAGATGGAGGCCCTGAGCCCTCCCATGCTGCAGAAGCTGGGGGACACCGGCACAGTCCCTCCACGGCCTGGAGAAGAGGCCTTTCCTCAGGGACAAGGGTGTCACAGTTTAGGCTCTGGCTCACTCACAGCAGCCTTCACTTTCTCAGAGGAGAGGGACAGGGGAGTCGTTCTGATCAAAATGGGGTGGGAGGGGCTCTGTAACCTCTTGCAGAGGCAGCAGCAGGGCTAGAGCAAGGGAAGGAGCTGCATGGGAGGGAGGCATCCAGGCAGGGGGCAGCTCAGACAACTCAGAGTGAAACCATAGCGGTTCACAGCTGCTAGGGCCCTTCTCAAGCCTCTAGCACAGGGAACTTAACCTGGTGGGTCCCTGAACACACTTAAGGGGGCCCATGACCTCCTGGAATGGAATGCAGATTTCGTGCATAGAAGCATGTGTCCATGATGAGGGCCCACGGCTGCCATCAGATCCTCAGAGATCCAGGATCAGTAATAGTTAAAAACACTGATCTTGTCCCGTCACCTCATCTTAGGAGGAACTTAGTTCCTCCAAGGGAAGTGACCAACTCAAGGCCACAGGGTTAATGCCAAAACAAAAGGTCAGCAGCAGTAGCAGCAGCATAATAATTGTAACTATTCCTAACAATGATGTGCTTTCCCCTGTCACAGCCTTGGAGTCTCTTTCCAGAAGAGGAAACGCAAGCTCCAAGAGGTTAAGCAGCTTGCTCCTGAGGCTTTTCTAGCTTGTCTGAGTTGCCCACTCCCTTGCCCTAAAGCCTCCTACAGAGCCACATCCAGGGGTCCTGACCTCCTATTCTTGCGCCTCCAGTCACAGCTTCCTGTGCCCCAGCATCCCTGTCTGCCTCTAGCACATGCTGCTCCAGTGGGCACCGCACCGTGACCTTCTCAGCCCCAGGCTGTGCTGCTGTACTCCCTCCATCCCCAAGCCATCCTTCAAGGCCCAGCTCCCAGGCCACCTCCCAGGGGTACTGCTCTAACCAGCCTGGCCCCATGCCATTGCCCCCAGCCCTACACAGAGGTAAGTCACGCTGTGCCTCCAGCCCTACCCTGGCGCAGGTGTGGGTCTTTGACTCCTCCTCTGCTCTGTCCCAGCACAGGGACCCACACACAAAGGAGATGGCCACCGAGGCTGCAGAAATGAGTGTCTGAGTGGGTGGAGCAGTGGTGGGGGCAGTTTGTTTTTACTTGGAGCTGTGCCAGTGCCTGACTGCTGCTCCCCACCCCTATGTCCTCACCCGGCACCCTCTGACCCCCTGAAATCAGCTGACATCCTCACTGCCTTCTTACCAGACTCGGAGTTGGTGGCGGCAACCGGCATGGTGAGGTAGGCAAGGGCTCTGAAAGGTCTCTCCTGGAGGGGGGAGAGAGGAAGATGAGAGAGTGCAAGGAAAAGGCCATGGGCAAGGGAACAGAAAGGGCCCGCCTTCAGGAACAGCCAACAAGGTAGGAGAGAGAGCACTGCCCACAAGCTGGGGGTGGGTGGTAACAGAGACCCCAACAGTCCTGGCATGGATATTACATGTGTATTTCCCTGACAAGTAGGAGACCAAGGAGGATCAGGGGGTTAACGGATTTGCCCAAGGTCACAAAGCTGCTAAGAGCTACAGTGAATACCCAGGTTTTACGACTCAAAAAAATTTTTTAAAAAGTGTTTCTTCCTGCTCTCGCTCTTTTTTTTGAATGGGGTGGGTAAATAGGAATCCAAAATTTGAGTCAAAAGCAGAAAAAATGAGTGTTCCCAGACAGTAAGTGCCATGAGCGCAAGAACCACATCCATTTTATTTGCCCCTGGAACCCAGGTAAATGTTTCACAAACATTTGTCCGCCTGGCCTGGCTGACAGAAGTGACATCCTACCGCTCCAAGTCCTCTCTCACCCTTGTCCCCTTCTTAGCCCAGAGCTGGCAGAAGGAAAGCAGGGCCTCTGGGCAGAACAAGGCATGGAGTCTATAGCCCCCAGCTCCCATCCCTCTCACAGCTAGGGTGGCTCCCCCACTCTCCCAGAAGGGACTAAGGGGGCTTACACCCCACCCTTCCTCCCTTTGCCTTCCTGGGCATGTGCTGCTGGCTAAAACCCTAATTCCCAGTTGCTATGACAACAGGAGTCAGCGGCTCACAGCAGGGGTGGGGGAGTGGGGGGAAGCAGCTGGCAGTGCCCACTTTAGGACTAAATGCCTGCTGGGGGTGGGGGGGATGCCACAGGAACTTCATCCCCCCGCCCCCCAAAAGCAGATTCTTCCTAGAGGGACCACTACCTGATTTCAATAAAACCCTCTGTTCCCATTCCCCTCCCAGGCCTGAGCTGGTCACCTGAGCTCAGGTGGCAGAAATTATAAAGGTGAGGGGGCTGGCTCCCCTTCCTCCTGGATCTGCCCCTAAGGACACGGAAGAAAGTGGCTTTCAGGAAGAGGAAGGGGACTCCCTCTCAGCCAGCACCGAAGATGGAAGGAATCCATCCACTGTGCCAGACAGTGTCCCTGGTGCCAATCCCTACTGTCCCTATTCCTAGAGAGCAGGGGGGAGAGATCTCTTCCTTCCCCCTCCCAGGTCCTGATGACCTCCACCCTGGAGCCTTCTCCTGGCTGGCGCTACTCTCCCGCATGGAGGCACCTGCAGGGTCAGAGGGGAGACTCCAGGAGTTCTCCTCCTCCCTAGAGGGTGGAGGGTAGGAAGAGGCTGGGAGGGTCCTGTATGAAATCCGTCTGCCAGAAGTGTTGCCCAGCCTGCCTGGGTTTTCTCCCTGGGGAGTCGTTTCCCAGGGCCTCGCTCGCCCTGCACCGCCACCCCCAGCCTCCGAGAGGGCGGGGCCCGGCTGTGCCCACAGGAGAACGGCAGTGCCAGGCAAGCCAGCCTGGCTCCGTGCCAAGGTCCAGG